TAATGACTCTACAATCTTCATGGCCAAGCTATGGGACCACCTCGATCAATCAACGCCCTGGAAATTTCGTAGTTCGTATAACCAGCCATCCGCTCGGCAATCGACGGTAGAAAATGCCATTGGGATACTGCGATATACTGTATTTTACTGGGTTTCTATTACCGGAGCAATACTTCCCAGTCATGCCAAGAGTTCCATGCAGAGCCTGATATTAGAAAATTCCTTATAGAGTTTCTTCTGAGGAGATAAATAAGAGGGAGAAAAAGCAATACGGTGCAATTTTCGCCTGGGCTCAGAAGCTGGCTCGAGCTATTTGCAACACTAGTCCAAAGAAGAACAACTCCAAAGTAGTTACACCTAAAAGTCAGTGAAATGCTCGTAACCTGCTGCCGCTTCACTGTGATTGGTCGAAATCTAGTTGGAATGCTTGTCAGAAGAAATGATGTGGAAAGATGCACATGGAAAGTAAGCACAGAGTACTGACGAGTAACATTAATTATTGGCTTGCCTAATTAAGTGTGCAGCATAAGGTCCGATGAGCAAATCGTCCGGGATGATTTCATAGCTCCGAATATACGCAAAGTGAGCTGTAGGTCTTTGCTTTCCTGAAAAAGTTTCCATTTAGCTTGGATATAATACTATTGGGTGCGAAAGCCGACCCTTTTTATATCATTTACAACGCCACCTAGCGGCTCGCCGTTTGAGTTATGACCATACATTCTATGACGGATATTGCTCGTATAGCTGCCTTTTGTCACACCGTAAAGTTTTGCCCATTTTTTCAGATTCACTCTGTATAATTTTAATTAAAACTTATTACTAGAGCCACAAATTTGCACACAGCAGCAACGTTCAGGCATTATAAACGTTAAATAAGTACACCAGAGCATTGGTTCCTGAAATACAAAACGCGATGGGATTTTTGCAATCTTGAAAATTACTGAATTTTTTTCACTTATATATAACTATTTATCACTTATAAATATCGATTAATTGTTATAATTTTGCACATTCATTGATCATTACTTCGCTATTTTTTCTACAATCACCTTGTCTCTCGGTTTTATCACGAGCTACAGTATCGCCAAAAACAATTGACTTTTTTATTTCAAAATTGAATAGGCAGCATAATTGCTGTACGTTGCTGCTGCAAGAACATGATTTTCAGAAGTATAGAATACTCCCTGCAAAGCATTGCGATAAGGAAGGTCACCACGGTCAGTGTAGTTGGGAGTTACTAAGCTTTTGTCCATGCAGCATCTCATCTCATAATGCAACTTATAACGCAGTATCTCCTTATTTAATTTCAATAAGTAGAATTACCACTACTGGGTCCCAATGAAACCACACGAACTATATCAACATCCCTTGGTCGTTCTTCTGACATCATTAACCCTTTCGCGCCGACTGCCACGCATACTTGCTAACAAGAAACGCACTCGTTTCCCGGCCCGCACGCTGGAGTGCCAGAGCGTCTTTTCGTTCACTCCCGGCTATCACATATTTGTGCCAGTGTCCAATAAGGTTATAAAGATCACTAGATGGCATCCTGGTCCAATACTTTTGAACTACTTCAATACTATAGTTTTAGGATTCCTGACCTTCAGTTTTATCACATCCTGAGTAACGTTGGTGTCAGGTGATGCCAGGGGAGGAGAAAAAGCGTTATGTAAACAAACTCGTCTCTTTAACTCGCCAAGTGATATAAACATTCGCGTTTCTGATATTCCTAAGAATCTTTCTTTATTCTTTTTTCTTTACCTTATAGGGTCTTTTAAGGTTATTGTGTGGAGTTTTTAATGTTATTGTTTGCTTTCGGATATATTTCGCGTTCTTCCCTTTTTATTTTGCAAAGCCGTTATCCAGTTTATTATGGCGAGAAAACTTTATTTATCATAGGAGGGATATACTCGCATAGTAAATGAGCCAATTAATGACTTGGATGAGATTGATGATTCCTTTTCTAAAGTGAAATTTCTAGTACGGTCATTTGTCAGAGATTGAGCTCTTGAGTGCCTGCCTTCCACTTGCCATGAAAGATTTCTTACTTCTTCCTGTAAATAGCCTTTTTTGTAATTTTTAAGTTTATTACTATGTTTTGTCAACTGAAACTTCGGAATAATTTGAAGAGCTCGTGCGAAAATTATTTTTAAAGTAAGCAAGTTTTTTAATATATTTTCATGTAAAGTTAAAAAAAAAAAAAAGGGACTATTCAATGCTAATTTTAACGTATACGATAGCTTAAATAGTAATCTAAAATGGTACCAAAAATTATGATGTTACGACTTGAACTTTTTCTTGTTGATATTTCTTCTAAAGTTATTCTTACCTACGCAAAATCCCCCGTCTTGTTGGAGCATTCCTTTCGACTCTCCTTGGTCTCCAGGGAGCATTTTAAACAAGGCGTGCCGTCCCGAAAGGACTAAGCAATATTTCTTCAAAAATGAAGCAGGCGAATCAGTTCTTGTGAATGCCTCAACAGTACAAGATCATCAAATCTCAACGATTTACAGAGCGACAGATTAAGTGTTATGGGAACATTAAATAGCCAGCCAAATCACCTGATTTTACTGTATCTGACTATTTCCTTTGGAGATTACCTCAAAGGCAAAGTGTGTGGAACACTTTGGGCTCTTGTTACCATTACTGCATCACAAAATAGAATTCGAGAAGAAATTCTGAGGCAATGCAGTAGCGTTTTTACTACATAGGGGACTGCATGAATGTATTCAACAGTACGATGGTGGCATGTCCATATTCAAAATCTGATGTTACCATATCAAAACTACACATGAGAATACGCATATCTTCCCTTTGCTTACCTGTTTTATTTATTATTTTTTTTATTAATTTTTTTCAGAAACCGTCAGATGCTTTAATGCATCTATATAGTAACATTCTGGTTACGATAAACTGCAAATATAGGGAAACTGAAAAATAAGTTCGCAATGCTAAAACGTTTAGGAACAACAACAGTGTCTAATTAACATTTCAAAAATATTTTTGAGAATAAATGCAAATGACACAGCAGCATATGCAAATAATTTTGTTTGCACGACCACATAATTATTATAAGTAAAAAAAGCATTTAATTCTGAAGAAATAGATTCAAATGCGTACATGCAGTGTTGCATACTTAAATTTTATGATTTGTGATTTGATACATTGTAAAAGTATTTTATATGGAATATTAGTATACCTTACCAAATTCATTCAACATTCACTAACGCTACAATAATTCATCACAAGTTGTGTCAAAGTATTATAGGATCCCAATTTTGTAGTTTTAATTCAAAGTCCTTCAGACCCTATTAAGCTGGCAAATGAATTATCGCTCTCTGAAATACAAAGTTTCAAGAAGGTTAAAATAACCTTTCCATTAACTTTAAATGAACAAAAACCACAATTTGTTTAGAAATAAACTCCACTACTTACAGATATTTAAAATTTCAAATTGCAGGTATCGTAGTCGGAAGCTACACAAGCTGACCTACTTAAGCTGACTCAGTTTGCAGATCAGCTACCATCGGCTAGCAGCACAGCTACAGCCTGAATATTCACTAGCAGAACCAGCGATAGAACTTTAACTGCAGTCGTCACTGCGAAGAGCTCTATATCCAAAACATTTACAACACTTGCCGTAAATGCTTTTCAATCTAATTTGCATCCTGGTGAGGTCTACAGAAAGGACAAGTTATACTAATGGTTTAAATCCTAATAATTGGTTAGTTAACATAAACTACCTTGTACTGTCACTTTTGATAATACTTCGGCCCCAAAAAACAATTATTCCCTTTCCTTCATCGTGGTTTCATTAGAGCATAAAAGGTTTGGGAAGAAAGCCGACAAGCCTTTTATTTTCAGAAAGACTTATGCATGCTCAATAGGCTTTTTATCTGAATATATGACTGACCAGTCCATCCTTTAAACATGCTAGCTCTGCAGAAATCAATCAACAAGCTGAGCTTTTACAGTCATTAGGTTATTTTCGATGTCAGGAAGCTGAAAAATGAACAATGCCTTCGCCAGGACTCAAACCTGGACCTCTCGAATACACGCCGAGTGTGCTAACTGTTACACCACGAAGATATTCTGAAAAGAGGGAGAAAATAGATAATATACGCTCTCGTTTAACCCTGGAATACTATACTGGGGTACTAGATTCCCCAGATCATTTTTACTATCTTTTATTTTTTTTACTACTTTTATTCCCCAGATCTATGGGGATATACAGTTCCCCAGGGTAGTATCAGTGTCCTCAGCAACTAATGTAGTACTTCAGGGTTAAAGGGCAACTGGGGATTAGGGCACCCGATCGCCAAATCATGGTGGTGAAGAATCATCATCCACCACCTTATTTAGTTCAAGCGCCACTGTAGAGTCTTTGGATTTTTTTAATTGTGGCAGACATGAAAAATGAGTAATCGAACCTCACCGGGAATCGAACCTGGACCTCTCGAATATGCGCTAAGTGTGCTACCATTATACCACGAAGGTATGCAGAAAGGAGGGAGAAAATACCTTAAAAGCTTTGTAATTCAAAGAGACTTAAAAGAAATATATAATTTAAAGCTGTTACGAGAATTTTATTAAAATAATAATATAATAATAAGGGATAGCAGACCAGCAGTCTGATTCCTCTTTAGAGCACTTGGTTTGCCAAATAAGCGTTCCGCAATATTTGTTCAGCTTAATACCTTCCTAAACCGCTACTGTATGCAATGATTCAGTTTCCAATCTAAACTGAAGATATCTCTTAGTAAGACAAGTCTGAAAGATTCTCCTAGTACGTCTAGTAGCTGAAAAGCGTGCACTGCGTTGACACACACAGGCGTACTAGCCAAGGAGCTACATATAGCTCTCCAGGCAAGAACCTAAAGGGCTCTCCGTTTTCAACAGAGGTTCTGTAACCGGAGATTGCAGTTGTCAGGAGGTGATCCTTCCCCGTGTACGTCTGTTCCGAAGTACCATTGGCGCAGACTTCGTTTTTATGGATGACAATGCACAGCCGCACTGGACTGGATCGGCCAGCATACTCCCCTGATTTAAATCCCATAGAACATGTAACGGATGCCTCAGGATTGCATCCTCCAGGGAACACCCAACAACTGAAACAGATGCTGAATGAGGAATGGGCACTTTTACCTCATGATCTGTTGGACAATCTGGTGCTGAGTATGAAGAGATGGGGCGAAGCAACTACTGCAATAAAGGGAAGGGCATATCCCATACTAAGGAACATCTGCTTGTTGTTCTTCCTCTTGTACAGACAATCATGTGTTAGGATACTGTGAGTTCAATAAAACCTTTTTTTTTTGTTGTTGTTGTTGTTGTTTGTTTGATTCCATACTGTATGCATTTAATTCATTTTTGCACAACCTTGCTTTTGTCATCGTTTAAATACAAAATGCCGTCTCTCATCTCTGAGTTTCATGTCTCACAGGTGATTTTTTTTTTAGTTATAGCAAAAAGAACAACTGTTAAGTTTTGCACATCAGTATATTTCAAGGTTTGAAGATGCAAATTTGACTAACTCATGTTCGTATTTATCAAAAGATACATATCTTCCTTTTATGAAATTTTGCAAAAAGAATTAATCGCATTGTTTGGGAGCATATTTATATGTGAACAGTTTTTTCCCCCCTTAACTGAAAATTAATAAGTTTCAGAAAAGGAAGTTGGTCTGTGATACAAATAGCTTCTAACATTTTTTTTTTTTTTCCAAAACTTTACCAGAATCGAAAACCCATACAGTATCATGTTGTAGTAAGAAATCTAGAAGTTTAATAACTATTTATATACAAACCTACACTACTGGCCATTAAAATGCAACACCATGAAGATGGAATCCACCCTATGCCAGATTACATAAAAGGTACTACATTGGAAATATACTTTGATACTTTGTTTGTTATTCTGGCATGCAGCAGGAGATGCACTACTCCTGCGCTTTTCAGATGCCTGAATGAGTACCCTTAGGGTCCTGACATATGTAAAAGTTCAAAATAAAGCTTCTCCAGTTCAGATAGCCTTATAAAAGAAATAGAGAAGTGAATCCCTGAGCTTCGGTGATCAGCAAGCCACGTATGGGGCAGCTGCAGGACAGGAAGGTGAGGAAAGCTGGCCGAAACACACGAAAAGGTTTGTAGAATCCGAAAGGCGGTGAGCTTTCAAACTACCGAGTGAGTAAGCTGAGCTCTCTTTGGTTGGTTTAGGTAGACTGTAACAAGTCAGCGGTGAATGGACAAAAAAATTTATTTTCAAAGTATTTTGTAACTTAAGATATTAGCGAAATTAGCCGGGTTGTAGGTAATCGTTCTGTTGAAGAATTTTTCATTGATGTGATTAATAAATTATTGAATTTGTTCCAAGTTTAAATCCGAGTGCAGACTACGATTTCTGATGAAGTAAGGAGCTCCGGTGATTATTCTTAAGGACTTGAAGCTTTTGTAGTCCTTGTCCTTTGCGTTTGCCCAGGCAGGGAAAGCATACGTGAAAATCAGTAGCTGGAGACGATGGATGTGCGACTTTTAAAAAAATGTGCTTAATGTAATGTGAATAAGGATTAGGGGATTCTCCAAAGACTGCTCAAGGTAAAGCTTTTATAATCATTTTTCCTTCGGAAGATCATGGATCAGCTTGTAAGTGATTTAATAGCACAGAATAGAGCTCTAATGGAGAGACTTACTTCAGTTATTACTCCACAAATAGACAATTTGAAACATTCAGTTCAGTTTGAAAAATATAATAAACACGAAGAACAGTTTGATTCCTTTTTGGAAAGATTCGAAAGTTATTTAGATATACAAAATGTTTTAGAGGATAAGCGTGGGAAAGTACTGATTTCTAGTTTGTCTGGAAAAACGTATAGTCTCTTAAAAAACTCACTGGCTCCTGATAATCCTTCCGATAAAGATTATGATATGTTAAAAACTACATTAAGAAATCATTTAAATTATAAGCCACTTATAATTCCTAGCAGACATTTATTTTTAAATTGAAAGCAGCATGAGGAGGAAACAACTAGTATGTACATGGCAGAGTTAGTCACTTGCCATACCGTGTGCTTAAGACCAGAACATGTTAAATACGATGTTGCAGGATGCATTTGTTAGTGGGCTCAAAGATAGGGCTATTACAGATAGAATTTTTGAGCAGGATAATATCAGTTTAGATGACACTTTAAAAATAGCTTTGGCAATGGAAAAAGCATTAAAAGGTGCAAATGAAATAATTGGGAAACCAGTGGAAATTATAGAATTTAGTACCATGAATAAACGTAAATCTAAGTCAGTCGCTCCAAAACAAAAGTTTGAAAAACAAAACTTTGCAGCTAAAGGCAAATTGTGTTCGCGATGTAGGGGGAAAGACAAGTGCTTGCAGAATTTGTACGAAAATCAGGCACATTCAAAGGGCATGCTACAACACTAAAAAAATGAAAGCGAAACAAAAACAATAAAATGTAGGAAATGAAAACACAGTTTCTATAAACAGCATACATTCCAGTGAAGTGAGAAATAAGAAACTACCCATAACGGTCCATGTGAACATAGAAGGAAAACTGGTAGCTGTGGAAATGGATACAGAGGGTGCAGCATCGGTAATGAGTTTAAAAAAATTCCGGCAAATTTCGAAAAAGAAAATTAAAAATACAAGTCTGTTATTTAAAACATATAATGGAGAAAAACTTATACCTTTAGCATTTACTACAGTTAAGGTAGAATATAAAGGTCAAAATAAAAACTTAAATCTCTACATTCGAGAATGGCTTTTAGAGATAAATTTAGATTAGTCCTCAATAATGTCAATTTCTGTCTCTCAAAAGAGTAGTTTAAATAAATTATTGGAACAATATAAAGAGATTTTGATGGAAAATTAGGAGAGATAAAAAATTATGAGGTTCAACTTGAATTGAAACTAAATGTTTCACCACAATTTTGTAGAGCTAGTTAAGTACCATTTGCGTTAAAGAGCCAGATAGATGAAGAAATTGAGGGATTGAAGAAATTGCTTGGAAAAAGAGGGTATAATCGAAAAGGTTGAAATGTCGGAATGGGCAACTCCGGTAGTACCAGTTGTTAAGCCAGACAGCTCTATATGACTTTGTGCCGACTACTCGGGGACAGTAAACCTAAATATTGTTACGCATCAACATCCTTTCCCGACCATAGAGGAAATATTTTCATGTTTGAGCGGGGAAAAGCATTTTTCAAAAATTGATTTTAAACATGCTTATTTACAAATGAAAGTACACCCTGAGACTCAAAAATTGCTAACAATAAACACACAGAAGGGATTATATAAGTGTAAGAAATTAATGTTCGGGCTAAATGCAGTGCCGGCAATCTGGCAACGTTATGTAGACGGTCTATTCCACGGAATAGGAGGGTGTAAGGTCTTCATGGATGATGCGCGGATAACAGGGACGCATGATGAGGCACATTTAAATACTTTAAAAAAGTTCTTCGAGAAATGTAAAACTCATGGACTGAAATTAAATTTAGAGAAAAGTAAATTTTTTCAGGATGAAATACAATTTTTAGGTCATAAAATTGATGTTAATGGTTTACATAAAACTGATGAAAAAATATTAGCAACTGTAAAAGCCCCAAGACCCAGAAACGTCCAGGATATTCAAAGCTTTTTTGTATTGGTTAATTTTTACGGAAAATTTTGCCCTAAATTAGCAACAATCGCAAATCCTTTATATCAATTAACTAAGAAAAATGCAAATTGGGTTTGGACAAAGGATTGTCAGGAGGCTTTTCTAAACATTAAAAAAGAGAATTGTGTTCACAAAAAGTTTTGATGCATTATGATCCAAAATTGGCCCTTACCACTAGCAAATGATGCATCACCAGTAGGGTTAGTTTCGGTACCTTCTCACAAACTTCCTGATGGAACAGAAAGGCCAATTGTATATGCTTCTAGAACACTGACTGAAACAGAGAAAAAATATTCTCAAACTGATAAAGAAGCTTAATCAATCATTTGGGGAATATTTTTTTTTCGGTATTTAAAAGGCAGGAAATTTACACTAATTACAGATCATAAACCTCTTGTTAAAATTTTTGGCTCAAAGCAAGGCATGCCAGTTTTGGCAGCAACAAGACTCCTACATTACGCTTTGGCTTTACAGTCATTCCAATTCGATATCATTTACCGAAAAACTAACGAGCATGGTAATGCTGACTTTCTATCACGATTGCTGACAAACTCAGAGCAACTGTCTAACTATTTTTCAATTACAGCAGATTGAAACTCTTCCAATCACGGCCAGAGATTTGGCTAAAGAAACTAAAATTGATGCAGAACTCAGTCCTCTGTTACGAATACTTCAAAGTGGCAGTGAATTGAAAGGAAGGGAGATGGAGTACAGTCTCCAAGATGGCTGCATAATGTACGGTCAACTCGTTTATATTCCAAAACGATACAGTGCTAATGTTTTAAAAGAGTTGCACCATGAACAGTTAGGGACTGCAAAGATGAAAGCAATTGCTAGATCTTATGTATTTTGGAATGGTATAGATAAAGATATCGAAAATATTTCCAAAAACTGTTCTGAATGTACAAAACATAAAATAGATCCTCCTAAGGTACAAGTTCATCATTGGGAGTACCCAAGCGCTCCAATGGAATGTATTCACATCGATCATGCAGGACCTGTTTTTGAGCATATGTTTTTGATAATCGTCAATGCTCACTCAAAATGGCTAGTAGTCTATACAATATCCTTGACTTTCAAAACAATAGAATGTTTACGGGACTTTTTGGCACGATTTGAATTACCAATATTGTTAGTGAGTGATAACGGACCACAATTCACTTCACATGAGTTTAAGATATTTCTACAGAGTAACGGAATCAAACGCAAAATTACAGCACCATTTAAACCATCTAGTAATGGGCAGGCTGAATGGTATGTGCTTACAGTAAAACAATCTTTAAGAACAATGCAAAATTATTCAGGAACATTGAAACAAAAACTCAGTACACTTTTGATGCAATATAAAAAAGCTCCGAATTTAACTATTTAAAAAAGCTCCGAATTAACTCTGCAGAGCCCTGCAATGCTAAAGGTGAAGAGGGAAATTCGAACAAGAATAGATTTATTGAGACCAGATCTCGAAAGGAGGGTGGAAGACGAAAAGGAACCTACGAGTTTGCAGACCGAGGATTTAGAGGAGATAGAGTGGCAGTAAGAAATTATTGCCAAGATGATGGACGATGGAGATTTGGAACAGACTAATCCAAATATGAGCAGCTTCATTACACCATAAATGTAGATGGTCAGCTATGGCGACAAGATGTCGATCAGATGCGTGATGGAGGAACCGTAAACGATGAGAGGTTCATATGTCCACCTCCAGCTCTCGTAATTTCCAAAGAGCCTGATAAGAGTGGAGTTCCAGAACCATCCAAAGATAATAGCCACCAGGCAGATGAGTCTGTGTCATCCTCTGAACCCAAGGTTATACGAGATGTTGCATCCACTGGACCTGTTGCTGATACAACCAGGTTACCAAAGAAACCTGCAGTGCAACAACCTTTGTGTCTGTGCAGTAGAATTCGATGTTCCCCAGATAGACTGCAGTTATGATAAAGGGGGAGGGATGTGGTATATCAATAACTATCGATGTGGTATACCATAATCAGACTTAAAGCTGGCACAGCGCTAAGCATCGAAGCACGCACAATAATAAGAAAATGACTGGAATGCGAGTAGTGTGTATGTGAGTGATGATACACTTTGTACATATAATAAAGTAGCATGTAGAGTAAAAGAGTGTGTCTTGTGAAATAAATTATGCACTAAAGGATACACGGTAACTGTAATATAGTCTCTTTTTCAGATGTAGAGATAGCTGTTCACATTTAAACAGTGGGAACAGTCTGAACATAATTTTATAGGCCTTTCCATATACTGGGTCATGTGATCGTTCCATGAGAAATTACTATTGAGGGTAACTCCGAGGTAGCTTGCTTTGTTACCCTTGGGATTGGGGAACCAAAAAGGGCGACTTGAGTTTTAATTTGGTCGAGTCTGAGAAGAATTTTACATATTGAAGATTGCATGCTGGTTTTCCAAAAACCACACCATTTTTCTATGGCTGGAATTTTTTCTTGCAACCTGGCCAGAGCATGGTCTGGTCAACCTGATCTGGAAACAATTACCATGTCATCAGCGTAGCTGGCTAGGAGAATGTTAACGTTGTTTGGAAAGCTGGGGAGATCGTTAACGTAAATTATGTAAAATAAATTCCCAAGGATGCTACCTTGCGGAATACCAGCTAGGATATTCTTTACAGTAGAAACAGCCTTTCCATGTTTGATACTGAAAGTGCGCTTTTCAACAGTCACACTGGAAGAACTGACTGATTAGGTATCGCCGGAATACCGTACGAAATGCGGTTTCTCCGACTCAATCAAATTACTGCCACATGGGAGCATCACTTGAGACTGTCAGTACATTAACCATCAGTAAAGAGGAGGTAGGTAAAAGGAGACCAGAGAATCGCACGGTCAGAAATCCAGCAATCATGAACAGACAAAACATGGTGAGTGTATAGTCTTAACTCAGTGAGTGAAAGCAAGCAAATCTAAAAATATTAAATACAAAAAATAAAAAATTACATTACAATGTCAAGACTTTATATAATATAGCAGACAGAGCAGTGTTCATCTAAGGAACTGATGTCCTTCACAGAATACTTCCTAATCAGCTGCGAATCACCAAAATTAACAGCTTAATTATAAAAGAGATTTATTGTGCATAACCATGTTTAGTAACATACTGGGAAATGCTGTGGATAAATAATGCAGCTTGCAACACTCACTTATGGGATAATTCACACAGGCATACTACAATCTGCGAAATATAACTTCATGAAAAAATCAAAAGCACTTAATTTTCTCACCATCAAAGTCTGGGTAGTGTTCTTGTCCTCATCATGGTCAAACAAACAACAAGACTTCTGTCACGAAATGAACACTTTTAAGAATCTTCTAAAACATTGCCTAGATACATACCAGCTGAGCTAGTACCTCTGACTTATAAAATCTCTGAAGTTGCAATATGAGAAGTTTATTGGATATGGGTACTGGTTTTAATCATCATAAACTCACCCAGTTAAAAAATGACTACAAATATAACAGTCATACAAATTTCCAGGTACATATTTAAACAAACTTTATTTTAAGTATGTTCATTTATTACTTTATTGTTTTGGGAAATACACTTTCTTTCGATAAACATGAAAAATGCTAAAAAATAAACAAAAATACTTGGTCTAAATTAATTTTTTAACACCCTCACAGAATTTGCAGATTAATCTTATCATTGAATCACTTTTAGTATAATATCTTACCTTCACATATCACCTAAAATTGGCAAAATAGAATGAATAACAAAAATCAAATATTTTTTAAACATTTATTTCACTTGAAAAATGTAACAAATTTATAACACATTATTTAAAATATGCAAAAAAATATTAAAGTACATAAAAAACAGAACAAATCTATGAGATACAAAATTTTCAAAAGTAGAAATAGGTCCTTAATTCTTGAAATAGATCATCATCATTCACTAATGTTCAAAATTAAAAAAATTTGTCTGTTTTGACTTCTTTTTTTTTTAAGTCTAGAAAAAGTAAAATTACGTTTCCAAATACAAAATGCAAATTTTTAGTGTCCAATGTACATATGGGCCAGGTAAAGGCACTCGTTAAAAGCATACATGGCATTTTCCATGTTTCATTTGATTGCACTTTTTGCTGACTTTCGTGGTTCCCTCCCCCAACATTTGGTGAAACTCAAAACAGCTGAAATTAGTAACCATCAATGCTTGGCTGAATACTGGAAGTAGGGTAGTCTCAAATGTAGGTTGCCAGACTTGAACATAAGGCTCCGTTCAGACGAGGGCGTAAAGGGCATAAGTGGTTAAAGCCAAGCTCCGTTGCCAAGGCAACTAGTCACTGCTATGTCACAGAATCTGGTTTAGGACTCGTGGCATAGGGTTCAAAGCTTTCAACTTTATGCCGAGTTTGGGATAAGCGTCAACCAATCAGAGCGAAGCTAAAACGAAGCGGCTTTCTTTAGACGATTTCGCTGTCACATTGAAGGTGACGTTTTTTTTAATATGGAACACATCGTATCTGAACGAAATAAAGAGTTGATCTCGCAAGAAATCTATGATGATGACATGCATTTTTTAATGAGTTTTTAATGCATTTTTAATGAGTTTTTCAATTTATATTGAAAAATACGGATGAAACTCATAAAGTGAAAGTTGAGCTCAGGATTATGTACGCTGTGTATGATCCTGTAGATGATTGATCCCATCCAATATTTTTCATTTTATTATGAAAATTCTTTAAGATGGTTGCAAAAATGCTTTAAGATGGTTGCTTTGGATGCTTGCAAAAATTTTATTTTTTATGTGTAAATTATTATTATTACTCTCTTTCTGTCTATAATTTTTTTAAAATTATTACTATATTTTTTCCCTTTTTAATTATTTTTGTAATTAAGAATAAATTTATTGAAAAAGCTGGAAATATTGTATTGCTAATTTTTTTTCCAAATGCTGATTTTCTTTCCAAACAAACTTCATGAATTAATTTTACTAAAACATCAAATCAATATCAAGAATCTGCTGTTTTTTTAACAGTAAAAATATTACTTAAAAAGAAAAAATTATTTTCACTTACTTAAGAATAGTCACAATAGTCAATTCAATGGTGTAAGCTTTGTATAAGTAATAAAAGATTAATCTTTTGAGAAAATGCTCTTATGAATTCCAAGAAGGAAAAAATGTAGTGAAATATCCTTAAAACAACAGTCAACAGTCTAGATAGTTTTGTGTCCTGTTGAATTTCTGTTCTGTTTTTTAATTACGTTCTCCATGAAAGGAATTTACTTTTAATGAAACTGAATAGCAGACATAATTCATAAAATGGACTATAATTTAATGAATAGTATTTGTTATTATTATCCACTCTTTATTACTATCATTTGAATGGAATTTTGATCATTAAATTCATGCTATTTCTCTGGTAGAAATTCCTGGATCAGGTATAAATGTTTATAATTTTGATGTATTTGAAAAATTGACTTGGGGTACCTAAAAAGACTTTGTAAATTTGTCAATGTGAAATTACTTTTGAGATTTGGTCGTAAACAGAAATGACAGCGTATGTTGAAATTAAATTCAGGGGTGCGGCTTATACATGCAAATTATTAGAAATAGATGTATACAAACAGCTGGCAAGACAGCAAAATGTATTTAATGATTGAGCATGAAATAGATTGTTGGGTGAACGTTTCCTAGTATTGTACTAGTTGTGGTTGCTGGTCATTGTGACCAGTTGTGGGATACTAGTACTAGTGATAATTGATACTGTAGTGCAGCAAACTACTATAGTGATAGACAGGGAAAGTGAATAAGGAGTGCTAATCACACGTTTCACTGTCACAGAAACATGTTCCTTTTGATTGAAAATTTAAATAATAATAATAATAATGTAATAATAATAAATAATAATAATGTAATAATAATAAATAATAATAATAATAATGAAAATTTAAAAAATAATAATAATAATGTATGGTAAGTATTACTTTTAGCTTAACTGCTTTCAAACCTGCAAAATGGAAAAATATTATATAAAGACTATCTGTTAGTTATCCTCAAGATTTTTTTTTTAATTAGGCATATTTAGAATATTGTATTTCTCCTAAGAGAAATTATATATAAAAATTGAAGAAGGTTTTATATATATGCATGTGCATGTTTATAGTATAGAGAGTACTACAGTACAATGCTAAATATTCCATACTGCTTTGCACAGAAATATATGTGCCAACTAAATATTGGTCTTTCAAAAAAATATCTCTAGACCATTTTGTTATTTTTCTTTTTTTTACCTTCTTCCATTGCCTCTTGGCTTATAAGCAGAGCAGATAAAAGAGCATTCTGCTGAACCAGTAAAACTTTGTGGTCAGCTGAAAAAGCCATGACACAAAATAACGAAAACGAGCAGAGCGAGCGGGAGAAATCAATTGGGCTAGAAAACAGCGTGCGAAAGGTGTAGACACATCCACGCATGCGCAAATTTAGCTTCTCTCATTGGCCACAGCTTAGACCCCCGTCTCGCAGGTGTGAACGGATGTTCCGTATTTTATGCCCTTATGACTATGCCTCTATGCGCTTTATGCCCAAGTCTGAACGCAGCTTTACGCCCAACCTCTTGTACAACTTAAGAAAAATGTTTAAAGATACCATGCCTATTAAGAGAAATAACATGGTCAAGCAAGGCGTAATATGAGTATTGTAACAACCTTTCAGCTCTCTCATGACTCATGAGGCCACAGAAAGATGGGCTTCAAGAGTTACTGTTTCCCGAAGGCTATATGCGAAAGGTCTGTTTGAAAGACCTGCTGTTTGCATCCCGACTTCTGCACACATAACAGTCTATTTAGTATGGTGCAGATAACACTGACTTTAAACCAAGCATTAGTAGGAAATGCTCCTTTCAGAGATGAGTTTCAATTCAGCCTAACCACTGATTCCCAAAGTACCTTCATCTGGAAAGTACCAGGGAAATGTTATCTGTCCTCCAACACCCAGTATAATGGACCAGTATAGCATTAGAGTTTTGAATGAATGTCAGTGCAGCATCGTGCTACACAGATGTAAAGACCTTCACATCTTTTCACATCACATGCTCCATGACTGGCGCAAGGAAGATATTTTAGACACCTACATACATCTTTTCAAGGATGCAGTTTACTTTAAGCTCATTTTTATGGATGACAACATTCGACCACATAAGGTTATTCCAGTGAAGGATTCTCTGGAAAGAAAGGATATTAACTGGACAGTTTGGCCGGCCATATCTTCAGATCTTAATCTATAGAAGATGTCTGGAATGTTCTTAGGATAGCAAGTGCAACTTGCATTCCCTATCCCAGAAATCTCCAAGAGCTGGAAACAATGCTGCTGCAGAAATGAGACTAAGTGTACACAAAGATTGATAAACTTATTTCCCCAGTCTGAAATCATCTTATGTCAACTCCATGATAGTTAGAGAGGTTCATACTCCCTATTAGCCTTCTTCAACGAGCTTCACACTAATAGGGAGGAGAAGTCCACACACTCCAATACCCTTGTGTGCAATATGACTGTTGTATAATATATTGTTTTGTATTCTATTAACCTATGTGCATACCAAACTTCATTAAAATCTGTCTATGAGTTCTGACGATAATTGATCAAATGTGAAAATTTTTTTAATTTTGAACAACAGCATATATACTTTTAAATCCAATTTTCTTCTAAAAAATTCAAAAAATATTACAAATCAGGACAGACGAGGTAGCCACAATAAATTCTAACTTCTTAAAACTCTTGACTAATTTTGCAGACAGGCAAAGCATCATCTGGAAAAGAAGCAAATATCAGTTTTGATTCTACAAACTAAATACACTATAGAAATAAATAAAAACACTAATACTTAGCACTTATATCTTTGAATAAATATGATGTTTAAAAAAGATTGCTATTACACATTTACTTTCTACAATATTCATCCTAAACATTCCCAATTACAAGTTTTCTTATATTAAGATAGAGAATTTTATGAAACTATTTCAGTACTGTCAGTAGTACAGTTTTATAACACGAAAGTATTAGTTTTTACATGATCTCAACAAAGGCGAAATTCCTGTTGGTAACCTTAAGCAGATAACAATCTTCTGTTGACTTCTTGTTCCATTTTTCAAGACAAACTCAGGTTTTTCCTAAATTTTCATAATATTAGTTTTATTATAGCATATTATTATAGTTTTATTATAGTATTATGTGAAATACCAAAACAGTTTGGCAGCTGTTGAAAATCGAATCCCATCTTGCAATATACAGTACACTTTGCCCACGTCCAAGTATTATCAATACAATTCAACCAAAAACAAACTAATTTAAATCAGCATTTTTAATCCATGGCCACTGTCTCTTATTTTGCTGCCAAGGAATTCTGATACACATGCTGTTTATCAAGTATACCATTCTTCATCTAACAGTTAACTAGAGGCATTCTTTTACTTATTCGTATCACTAGAAACAAAACCCAAGGTTTACAAAAAGGCAGAACATGTTTTATTAGTGTACCCCAAAGATGAAGGGGTGACATCCAAAGATGTCAAAGATACAATAGAAAGGAATACTACTCCAAATAAACTAAAGACAGGAGTCAAATAGGTCAAGAAAATAAGACAAGGGGTCATTATGATCCAAACAACTAAAGAGAGGACTTGAGAATCTTAGAAGACGCGGTAAGAGAAAATGCCAGATTAAAAGACTTAGCTGAACCAAAAAAGCCAACTAAAGCAAATCAAAAGATAATCATTTACAGTGCAGATGAGGAAATAAAAGAAGATAACTTGGTAAAATACCTACAAAATCAAGAATCATGAGTTAAAAGAAGTGGAATTAGAAACCAAATTCAAAATGAAAGGTAGATTTGGAAATAACTGGGTGGTCAGTATAGACCTCAAATCATTTAATCAAATAATGAGAATCAAAGAACCAAATATAAAATAGAAATGAAAACAGGTTTGAGTATATTCAAAGACACTCAATGTAAGCAATGCTTAGAAATAGGATATATCACAAAAATGTGTAAGGCAGAAAAGTACTGCCTCAAACGTGGGAAATGCAAATGCACATTAGCAAAAGTGGACCTACAAGAAAAAAAAGTGTGTAAATTAGAGAGAGAAAAAAAAAAAAAAAGAAAAGAAAAGAAAAGAAAAAAAATTATTGTTCAAATTAAGCTTAGAAACAAACTATAGTAGCACTCACAGAAACTACCCGTCCAAAATAAAAGAACTATAAATACTTAAAATTCAGTTAAGGCTTTAACCCTTTGACGTGCAGTATATAAAATAATTGAAATTGTGCTAAAACTTTGCATGGACTTATGGACCCTGAGGACACAAAATCGAGACTTGAAAAAATCTAGAGCGAAATCCTAAATTTTGAGAGCCGGTATATACAGTCAAAAGTCTTTAATCCGGACGTCCATAATCCAGAATGATCTATAATCTGGGCCTCAAAGCTATAAACGTTCTGCACATGCACATATGCGTTTACGCTTGTGCATAATACGTTTATGCATGCGCGTTAATGTATGGATGGTATAAGCTAAGCTAAAATTATCTAATTATCTATTTCGGTTAATGTTGCAGATTGCGCTGTTACTTAATCTTCTAATTGGATTCGGCTTATTATTTCTTGCAGACTGTTAGAGCAATTTTATAAAAGTAAGCTTGAACTTTCGATTATGTCAAAAAGAATTCCCGATTTTGGAGCTGCCAAAGGATCTACAAAACAAAAGTATGTTTCGATGTCGATCAAACAAAAAGTGGAATTGCTGCAAAAAAAAAATGGATAAAGGCATATCCTTTGTTTCTCTAACCATTCCGAAATCTGTTTATCAATTTCACGCAGCTCTGCCGGGAGGGGGACGTTGCGGTGCGCAAATGAACTGGAAGTTGATCTGTTAGCACTATCCTTATCTTCAGGGCAGATGTTTTTATTTTATTCGAGTTACAATTCCTTACTAAATGTAGTATTTCATCTCGATGTACTCCATCTTTGATATGATTTAAATCAAATTCCTCGTCATTATAAATATCACGAATACACATCAAATAGTTTTCTAGTTGCAATTTTCTAATTTCGACTATGCGTAATGTATGCTTTACGCATGTGCGCGTTAAAAGAAATGTTTAATAAAGTAAACAAATAAATATTAAGCTTCTTTTTGTAAATTTTGATACCTTTTAGATCATAATTGCTCTTTATTTCATAAATTATGGTTTCATATTTTTAATTTTATAATTTCTGCATGCCATCTTACCAGATTTAAACTGATGATCTATAATCCGGAAAAACCGATAATCCGGAATCACTGAAGACCTGACTAGTCCGGATTAAAGACTTTTGACTGTATTTCAAACCGGCGCCCCTCTAAGACATTTTTTTCCAGGTAGCTGCCAATTGTTAATTTTTGTTTTTTAAATTAATTTTGTGTACTTTTGATGTGCATCTGTAGAGATGGGTGCTTGAATATAGTTATGTAAGTCTGAAGACAAAAACTTTTAAAATTTTGGTAGAAATTTAAAATTTTAAAAATAAAATTTATGTTTTTATGCACTTTGATGATGCAAGCCAGGTGAACATACTTATGTAAAATATGGGTAAAAAACTTTTGAACTTGATTTCAATTCAATATTATTATTTTATAAAAAAAATTAGCAAATATGGCACTGCATGCGTAAATCGTACCATGCTGTAACTGAACTAGTATAATATTACCAGGACATATAACAGCCGAAAAATAAAAAAATTGTAAAATGAAACACTACGACTCAGATGAGAAAGTATGTTGCATTTTTGAAGTCATATTTTACGCTTTAGATAATATGTAAAAAAGCCATGTTTCATGCTATGATACCAAGAATCGCCCCCCCCCTACGCACACACATTTTAGATTATTGAGGACCGTAAGGGCCACTTTTTTATTTTTTGTAAATATAGGTTGTAATATTATCTTTTTGTTCAGGAACAAACGCCATTAAACAACTTTATTATTTTATACACCTCAAAGCTCTTATTTTGATTTTCAACCACTTAGGCCTCCTAGGGGCTCCTTTTCAACTTTTGCATAAATTCTAGTTTGCATCTAAAATGTGCCTTAGAAATATTTTCCCTCAATTTCCCAACTGTGAAATTTATTTCATAGACAACCTATTTGTAACCTAACCCTAAATTTCTCTTGCATTCCCTAGTCTTTAATCTGAAATTAACAAAGACGATAATAAAAGGATGCTTTCAAATCACCAGTTTTTGTGATTACACTAAGAGGTGGACCTTAAGTGCACTTCTATTTCCCATTATTTTTAAGTAAGCTTTCTCTAATGTGTGATCTTATGACACCATACAAAGGGTGACTCCCGAATGACATATCAGTTATCAATCACCTCCTTTCATTTTCGTTGGATTCTAAGATTTTTGAAAACACGAAGCAACTGGTGTCCTTTGGGGGCTAATATGCCACATTTAATCCCTACAATTGTATAAAATTTTAAACCCAGACAGCAATCTTGAATTCGATAAGTCTTTCTCTTGGGAAAAGGGGAAGTGCTGAAGTTAAAATTTTAGCTAAATAGAGATGAATGAAACTCAAGCGGCGTAAAAAAAAAAGAATAAAAAGAAACAAATATACTTGTGTTCAGTCCTAGTGCAGGGTCAGTAAACTCCCCATCCCTTCATGAACATAATACTGAATTCTAAAACAACTTGTAAGTTAATCATAAACAAATTGTTACATCATAAACTATTATAATGTAAAGCAATGCTGTCATCTCACAGAGTAGAGAAGGAGAAGCCTGTTACTGCTATCTATTGGATCTATTAGCAGAGTACCCTCAGTAGGAGTGCCGGTATATATTATATACCGGTATTAAAAACATATACATAATCTTCTTTTAATTATCAGTTTTGATTGAAATGCAGTAAATATAAAAGGTTCAGCATGTGTACGTCATATATTTACAGATTTTGAATTTTTCCTTTCTCTCTAATAGAATTTATCAATCTTCAAACATGATACCTTGGAACGAGGTATATTAATTTCATAACTGCAAAATATTGAGCATTCATAGGGTGGTGCCCCATTTAGAATCGAAAGGAAACAGTAGAAACTTACGATTATAGCTTTTGGTGTAATGAAATTAGCATTTTTCCATAGGTTAAAAAATTGACATATATATTGGTGCCCTGCAAAGGGTTAAACAGAATAATGCAGATCAACTTCAGCACTCCTGGAAAAAATCCCTGCAATTAAAAACAGATCTTGAGACTACAATAAATAATCAGTCAACAGAATGCATTCAGGAGCTATACTTAATTAAAAATGCATTAAGCGGATTTTCCTTAAACTCATTGTCACAGACAGAATGCAACAAGCACCATTATAATAAAGGACAATAAAATCCTCAAAGTGTGAAGGGCACATTTTACATACCATCACAGCTTACATAGATCAGAAATCACAAACTGGGAAGTGGACACAAAAGAAACGTTGAGTGACCACAGAGCACTTAACTTCGAAATTAATGTAGCATTCAAAATCCCTCACTAAAGACTAATGAGGATCGAAAACACAGAATGGCTTAATTTGCGACAAGATGTCTCAAACCTAATTGAAAATTTAAGCTAAATATAAAAGAGATTAACAGTGTAATAAAGCATATCTCAGAAAATCTAAGATCCCTTTATAGGGAGCACAAAAGAATTCACAAGCTTGCCAAAGCCTACAAAAACACAACCTCATAGTGAAACAACTCCCTTACGCAGGATAGGAAATAATTAAAATGCC